GAAAAAATAAGATAAAATATTGTATACTAAAACCCGAATCTTTCTTGACGTAATTTAGAAAAACTAAGTTTAAATATAAATGAAAATAAATATTACTCTCTCTCTCTCTCTCTCTCTCTCTCTCTCTCTCTCTGTGTGTGTGTACGTACTGAACGAAAATGCGGAAATTGAATACTTCATAACGAACATAAATTTTTGTCGTCACAATTTAGCAGAGATCATACTTAACTACTTACATACTTAACTTACACTTAAATCTTGGAGTCATAAGATCCTAACATTCTATTTCTATTTTATTAGTATTTTATTGGATTAAAATTGAGTTGAATTACAATTGTATTTAACGTTTTATAAACTTATATCAAATGTTTAATACACCAATTTATAAAAACCACAGAGACACATACAAAAACCGAAGTGAAACATTGTATTTGGTCTAAATAAGTAGACATCGAGTAATCAATATGGACGGGCAAGAATTGAATCTATCCGCTTGAAATCAATGACGCGGACGAAAGGACACGGCTGATTAAGCGCCGAGGAAAATGTGAAAGCTGCTTCGATTTTTTTTTCCCGGGAACTCGATAACATTTCATCGCTGGTGCGATGGTTCATTCGCGTGATCCTTGGGGAGAATCTTTGCTTAGTCGTAGCCGGTTGAAAGCTCTTGGTGTTCTCGGGACCGTATTAATGTTAATACACGCTGTCGATTCCTTTCCAGGCAAATAGAATCTCTCGATTTGAGAACGTGAGCGAGGCAGGAAACGACCGTAGAAATAAAGGATTCGTTTCGATAGGGTACTTCTCTCTTTTTCCCATTTCACGGTATTCATTCCGTTGTACGTATTTTACCGATCCCCTTTTAAAGTTTCAAATTGCTTGACCCACAATCGATTTCTCTCTGTTGTTAATATTCCACGAGCGACGCGTACCGATCGCGATTTCATTTGAAACGCTCGTCCTCTTTTTCCATTGACGATCTCTCGCCGTATCTAATATTTTTATTGTACCCCGCTCAATGAGAGGATTTAATTCGCGGTTAAGGGAGTTCGTGGAAAATTCGTTCTCCGGCGGTACGGCTCCGTTTTAGCTTTTTTCGATCCTTTGCCAGATATTTCGCTATTTAAGAATTTGATAAACAATGATTTTTACGCGCACGTGGTAAAAATTATTGTGTTTACGAATGATTTATCGAAGCAAATTTATCGTGCAAAATTAAACGCATTTTTCATAGTTGTTATGCTGTTGTTAATGAAGAGGCAGATAAAACGTAAAATAACGTAATTAGGAACAAAGCAAACTTTTATTTTGATAAAGGCATTGCATTTCACAGAACCTATGAGATTTTTACGGGTCTGTTGTGTTTATTTGCATCTATTTCATTCGGTATATTCGTCGTCGTTCGCATCCTTCAGATTGAATTTAGGCGAAAGAATTTCGATCGTCAAGATGTTATTTAAAAAGAAGGAAACTTTCGAATTTGTGAATGGTAGCGCGGTCATTGTTGGACTCGAAGCTTAGTCGTTTCTCGTGGCAAAACAATTGCGGACACGACTATACACGGCCCAGTAAATACCTTTTTGTTCGGTTCGCCAGTGCATTATTAAAGCTACCTGCAAAACCCGGCATTACGATTAAACAGAGGAGCTCGCGATGCTCAGGCACAGGCACAATAGACATCGAACGGTGAATATGATCGGGAACTAACTGGGCTAGAACTGGGACTGGTTGTACTGTTTCATGAATTGCATAAGCTATTTCAAGAGTCGACGAAACTGGCGACTAAGCTGTCTCGAACGTGGCTGGCTGCACGAGCTGCCTAACAAGGAAACTTCGGTAACCCAAAAAACTCGGAACTCTTTCGTAAGTTTTCGGGTTCCACGGCAACTTCCCCAAGAAGTATCCCTGGCAATTTTCTTCCGCCACTTTTTTTCGAATCTTCAAGGTGAAAACAATGCTTAAAGCGGTTTCCCCTATACCCGCCCGTATACTTCGGCCTGGTATAATGATTACGATAACCGCGGCGGAATGGGAATTTACGGTGATCGCGATTTTCACCGGCGGTGGTTATGCTAATCTGCTGTGACCGCTGTGCGAAAATCTGGCGATGCGCGGATTGAAAATAGCGATTGTTTGACGAATTTCGGTGAGGCAAACGGGTTTATGATTCTAATCGAAGATATTAATTGCGAAATGTAAAAGAAGTTGTTCGCAAACTTCACGATTGAAGAATTTCGATGTTTGGTTGCAAATAATAATTGCGATCAGGGATAAAAAATAAGTTAGTCGCAAAATTTTGGTGAAAAAAAATCATTGAGATAATCGTGTTTATTGTTCAAACGGAATCTTCATTTTTAAACGAAATTTATAAGAAATTATTCGCAAATTTTGTGATTAAAAAATTTCAATGTGTTTGGTTGTAAATCATAATTACAATCAGGAGCCAAAGATAATAGTTATTTTTCAATCGTGTTTATTGTTTAAAGTTTTTAATTGTGAAATGTAAAAGAGATTTATTCCAAGAACCACGTTTTTAAAAGATTTAAATTATTGCTTGCACATTTGGTTACACATTTTTAATAAAAATGAGAGACAAACATACAAAAGTGTGAAGACATTAGATGAACTTAAAGATCTTTTTACATTGTATTCTAACTATAACAATAATTAGAACAGTAGATTACGATCAACATTGACAATTTTATTTTTACATAAAGATCGCAGTTTATACACAACCATTACGCGCTCAGAGTCTAAAAATAACAGCTACGTGACAAATGTTTCCGAAAAAATCAGTAAGAAAAACATGTTCATATGAAATTAATTCCAATCATCGCAGCGATCTAGTTATCTGAATTAATCATATGAAATTATTCTGTGACAATGGAAATAAATGTTTTTCCAAAAGAACAAATTTGTTTATGCAGCTTCGTCGATAACTTCAATAACACGAGAGCAATATAATTCTGCGCTGCTTTTGATTAAAATCGAAATTACTATTCCACTAACGCAATGAATTACGAATTATGTAACGTGTGCACGAACGCCCGCGATTCATTTATTATATGGAATTAATTCGAAGGGATTATTGCATTGCGCAACGTTGACGCCGAAGTTGTCGTACGAAGAAATATAATTTATCGGCGATGTTTTAACTATGGCTGAAATTCGAAGCTGTTAGCGGAACTATGGGACGCACTTTGCACCTGTGGAATTACCCCTAAATCCTTTAGATTTACAACCTTCGTCTGGTATGTTTTCGAGTTGACAAAGCACTTTGTCGAAGGCATTAAGGTCATTGAAACTGAGAATCCCTCTTGTTGGGATTGGTCGCTGTCACGATAAATTTTATGTTTACGACGGGACAGAGGGTGTGCGAGGTATCTTACAATTAATAGTGCGATAGAGGACGCGATTCATCGTGGAAAATTAAATTGGGGAACAAACTGGAACGGCTTTACACCGAGCCTCGTTTTATAAACGTTTTCTAATCCTCGAACAAAGAAAAAGATTAAATAATTCAGAGCTTACGGAACAATTTTGGAGAATGTTATAAAACATGTAAAATCGTTCAGACTTATCGAACGATTACTATGTTTTAGAAAATTCATTAAGTAATTCGCTGATGTCGCTGCGATTTTATTAATTTTTTAACGAAACTTAGAATTTGGAAAAAGATGTCTACAACTGAATATGTAGTATATTAGTAGTATATTATCATCGTTATTTTGTATTATTTATTTATTTACCACATAGCAAATTAATAATATCGTGACTTACAAAATGGAGCATTGTTAATCTTCCATATACAAAATTTATTATATGCAATAACATAATTATAATAGGAAACCGTACATAGTTAAGTAGATTTATAAAATAAATTAAAATAGAACAGCATAATATAAAATAACATAATTAGAATAGGAAAATCTATATACGTAAACGTGTTTCTAAAATAAATCAAATTAAAATGGAATAAGATAAAACTACATGACTATAATAAGAAAATGTACATACTTAAGTATGTTTGCGAAAAGAAAGATAAAATAGAATGGAATATAAAATGAAATTGCATCAATGCAACAACAACAAAATGTACATACTCAAATGAATTAAGAATTATTCAAGAATATTTGCTACAACATTGTTAAAAAATTAGACAATCAATTTAACACTGAAATTTACAGCGCACCAATTTAAGTTAACAATAAACTAGTCTATTAGCATCTCGTACTAAAAAATTTGAAATAAACTGCAATGTTTTACTAAATTCTATGCAGTCTAAAATAAGGGGAGAAAATGTCTGTCGTTCTCTACAAAATTTATCTGGTAAAATTATGACGGTAACGGTAATTTTTCTACCGAATGGAGTAACAATAGAGAAACGTTCTATTTCTCCACGTCGAAGACGCATGGAATCTCTTAAGGATAGAATCGAACAAGGGAGCATAATTTCCGTGCCGGCAGCGGGCATGACGTAACACAGATTTATTTCGGTTCACACGGCCACGATAAAATTACGAAACTGGCGAATGGTCTAATTAGGCGATGTCCAACGGTCGGAAGATAACGGTGGCGAAGCTCGGAGTTCGCTCCTCCGGGAACGTCGCCGCTGTTTTGCAGTGGATGGAGACTTTATCGCGTGCTTACTAATATTCGGCTTGATTACTTTACGCGGCTACGCTTCGCCGGTGACACGTAACAAAATCATTCCCTCGCAAAATAACCGATGCGCTTTGCTCGTCGCACGTGGCGCATATGCAGAACGTCAGACCGTTGCATTCGTGTTTACGCGTTATGCAACTTACAGCATCGCGGAGAGCCGTGTACGCGTTTAACACGAGGAAAAGTTTATTTATTTGTCGAACTCGTTCGCAGCTGTGAATTCGTGCTCCTGGATTCGCTTGTCTAAAGTGGATTGCCGCAATTAACACGCTCGCTGCCACCGTTTGCCTTGGTAATAGCCTGCACGGTTGACATGTTTTATTAATTGCCAACCGCTCGTTTTACTGGCTATTGAAAATACTATCTGGCTGAGTTATTAATTCTATTATCGCCTCGAATGGCGTGTCGCATTTTGTTTTGAATTCGTCGTGCGAAAACATTGATTCTTCGATTAATAAAAATATTGCTAGAATAGTTTGAACGATCAATAATAATAAAAGGAGAATCGATTAGATTCGTCAATTGAATTCGGAAGTAAACATTTATTGGTATAGCATGCTTTCGTGAAATCAAATTTCATCGAAGTTAAATGCCAGATCGAAAACATCACTTTTGAAAATAATTTCTCATGTGACAATATCAATTTGTCACATAATAAGATATTTTTACAATAATTTAAATCTTCCACAATAGGATAAAAAAAGGTTCAATTTGATTCGTTAGTTAGTTTCAGAAATATTCATTAGAGTAGTATGTTTTCATGGAAACAGATTTTGTCGAAGTTAAATGTCAAATCAAAATCATTTTCTTTATAATTTGTCATATAACAACATTAATTTGTCAATTAATAAAATATTTTTACGACAATTTGAGTGTTCTACAATGAGACAAAAACGATTCAATTCGACTCGACAATTAATTTAGGAAACAAAGATTAATAATTCTAAAATAAGGATAAAACTTTGAAATTCGAAAGATTGAATTTTAACTCGGAAATAAAAAACCAAGAAAAAAAATGACTCGAATCTCCTTTAGCTTCGCTGGTACGATGTCAAGTTTCATTTCGAACAAAATCACTGGTATCGACGGCGAAATATGATCACTTTGGTGTGACCTAAAATCTATAAATATAACGCAGGCAGCGAATGGCTTAATCAATGTTAATGCATATAGGGCTGAACGATACAAAATTTGATCGTCAATATGTTAGATGAGGATATTCAATTAAATAGGTCATGTAACTACACTCGAAAACGAGGTGATATTACATTAATTTATCTGGAATGAAAACAATTTATTAGTTAATGTCTTCACCTCTCAACAGTTGATCATAATTTTCAAATATTAACGCTTTGCACTCGAATGTCCCCTCTCAGTGGACATAGCAAATTTGCTGATAATTATGGTAACTTTTGTTTCATAATATCTGTATCGATACAATCTTTTATCAAATTTTATTTAAACAGTCTAATTATTTTCAACGTTCTTTCATTTTCCAATTTCTTTACAGCTGATAATTATAGTATTTTCAAAATTAATAATTTTCGTTTCATGAAATTTCTATCAATACAATCTTTCATTATTTCCAACAATTTATCATGTTACATATTTTTGAATCCCTCGCACTATGATTTGAAAAATGTATACTTATCGTATTCCAATCTTCACTTTCGCGTTTAAATATTGATGATAGAAAGAGCAGAATTTAATTTCGATTTTTAAAACACGCGAATAACAAGAACACGTAGCGAATCACGTTCGAAATCTTCGTAAGATCGAGTTTCTTTTTGGTAGGCGATCCAAGAAAATTCTCCGAGTGCAAACAGTTGAAGAAAACACAGAGCTTGCACAAATATCCTGGAAACACAACAAAATACTCCTGTATATGACAATTTACCTGTACACAGAGCTTGTAATCTTCGATGGCGACGACCATCAGCAACAAGAGCAAGTAGTTTCCGCCGGCCTACAACCATCATTGCTGCTGGAGGCCGATAGAAACCCCTAACCTTATTGCCGCACGTATTTCTTCTCCCTTCTCGGTTTCCGTCGGCTCCATCTTCATATTCGGTTTCCCCATCTGATCTTCGGTTTCGCATTCTCATACATCACCAACAAAAGTATCGCGTTAAACCCTTAACGGTCGACAATTTCTAGAAGCGATGTTCCGACGCTTGCACATTGTTGACACTTCTTATTAGCACACGATGCTGTGACACGACGCAATTTTCTAATACCTGAGGAAATCATTTCTTACCGCGTTTCATTCTAAATTGGATTTTCGCATAAATTTTTTAAGTGCAACGAATCGATATCTTCTTAATTGGATATTATTTTGGATTAATTAATTCCATCGATTAAACGGTTAGGTATCAGATTTGTACACGATGTTACAATGATGTAATTTTCAGGGTACGAATCTGTTCTCACCGCGTTTTTTTATATTTTATTTTTTACCTACTTCTAAAGTGCATGAAAAAATTAGATTTAATCGTGCGATGTGTTATTTCGTTAATGTTTGTTTTATTTATAATTAGATAAATTATTCGAAGGATTTCTTAGATCTAATCTTGCCTATTTCATTTGTTTCCTCGAGATAACAAAATTAATTAAAACAATGTGCTCCCAGAAGAGGCGCCACGCTTTTAAATCAAAAGGGCATAATAAATGGAACATCGTTGGATCAAAATATAAAATGGATTACGATATTAGCAGCTGCAAATGTTAAACTATAGTCAAAGACAACTGAAATAAATCGAACCAATTAACAGGGAACCTATTCGTATTTGTCAAACGAAAAATAACTCATTTTTTAAATTAAATACCTGAAATACCTCAAATAGCAAACCACAGGTCAAGACAAATGCAATAAATTTTGCATCCTAATCGGAAAACCTCAGAATAAAATTATAAAACGATTGAAATAAACTTGTCGCAAAATACAAGATACAACAAATGTTTTAAATAGAAGAAATGTGGTAAGAAGCTGTTCGATCACAGTTTAAGACAAATTAAACACACCGAACTGTGTATTCTTATCAGAGGATGAAAATAAAATCATGAAGCGATTGAAATAAAGTTGCCCGCAAATATGAAATACATTATAAAATTGCATATATTATAATTAATATTTTAAATAGCAAAACGAAGCAAGGAGCAGTGCCAGCCTAAAAAACAAACATGATAAATTGTAGCGCGTATCCCAAATAGAGGATCTCCTGTTAAAGTATATCGTATGCATATACGTACAAAATGCATTATAAAACCGCATATATCGTAATTAATATCTCAAATAGAATGAAATGCGGTAGAAGAACATGGAACTGGAAATCACAGCTCAAGACAAATGAAACTAATTGGATCGACAGACGGCCGAAGTAAAAGATGCTCCTAATGGAGCGGGATTGCAAAACATTTCGCGTTCAGGTGAAAATACCGTGAATCCCGTGGCGAGCGCAGCAAACCGTTGAGCCGGGATTTAATAAAAGATGACAAAGGGCGCGCGGACTCGTGTTTCCGAGTTTCAACGACCTCGGCGCGCGTTAGTAGCCCCATATCGGTGTTGTTTTTTTTCGTTTTAAAGTGGTCAAACGAACGGAAAGATGGGGGGTGGGTGGCGGTAATTTGAGTAGTTCTCGTATCTCCGGGGCAACCTTTGACCTCGTTCACTGTTCGTATTCCATGGTTCAACGCTTTCGGCAGAGACACGGGGAATGTACGGATTTTATCGGGGAACTTACTTGGCAGCCTGCCAAATCGTACGTGTAGCTTCCCTGTGAAATCATTCGATCTCCAACGGATCCACTCTTACCACGCTCCTCTCCCCTACGATTCTGCCATTTGAATAAGTGATAGGGGATCGTCCCGAGCATTCGCGACACGTGCGAACTGCTCAATCATTGATTCTCATTATTTTTTCCGTATTATGCGCGGCTACGTGTCAACTGGCAGTTTCCTTCCCTTATCGCACCTTATTTAACCGTGATACGCATTCTTTCCTTCTTTCCCGCGTTTATGTCGTTGTTTTACGTCGACATTCCAGATTCGATGCATTGCTAACAAAATGTAGCGGATCGAGTGGAAAAGAGTTGTCGAATGTTCAGAGTGAATCAACGTGTGGTTAAATATACTGATGGATAAACATTGTACCTTTTTATTTAATTATTAGTTTAATTATTACTTTAATGTATGTAATTATTACTTTTCATTTAATTGTTAGTGTAGTTTCGTTAACGTCTAGTCTTGTAATTTTCTCGAAGCAAAATTGTACCATTCACTACTACTATTACAAAAATGTGAGTTATGTTATTAATACAATCCTTTATTACAAATTTGATTAAAAATTTCATCTTAGACGATCGAATAATTTACCTACAAGCACGAGAAAATATTTAACACGTGTACATTTGTTGAAAGGAAAAAGCATGAACTAAAACAATTTTATCAAAATTTAATTGAAAAAAATTTATTCCGAAATTGTTGAATCTACGACACATCGCACACTATCAACATTTTAAGAGAATTCATAATCGTTCATTTTACGTGAATATGTAGCAGTAAAATAAAGTTATAAAATATCGTATATTACCCAGTGTTCAAATAATACTTATGCACGGTAGTGTACGTGTGTCGCGTACGAAGTATGACAGCGGAGGATTAAAAAAAAAAAAACTAGTTCAACGACCAATTTCCGAAAAGTCGAAATCACGGTATGAAGATTTGTCTTCCGCCGATTGCGAAGTTTACATCGCTGGTCACGGCCGCAAAACAGATGCGTTCGAATTGGCAGAATTTCCCGAACGGGACGTAGCCGGGCGAATGGGGATTCGTTTACGATCGCAGACACGGAAACTTCGCCGCTGAAAATCCAGCGCACAGCGACACAATAACGGCTAAACAAGGCTTTGTTCCAGCTCCGGAACGTTCGCGGCCGTCGTCGTTCGAATTCCCCCAATGATCTATGCAAAGAGCCCGAAGGATCGCGCGCGCGCTTGCTCTCGCAAGTCAGTGTTTCATGGTTTACCTTGGACTCGGCAGCGATGATATCCCGCAATTCCTTCAGGAACGGGCCGAAGAACGGTATCACAGGGCATTCCGGCATCGCCAGCGCGCGGCCAAGCGCAGATTCATATTCGGTGGACAGAAACGCGGCGGACAGAGTTTCCAAAACTGTTGGGGGCTCGCTAATTACCTGCCAGAATTGCTTCAGATTGCTCGATCTGCAAACAAGCATTTCGTTTCGTCAGTTACAATGGTCAGACACGTATTTCTACTTTATTGGGATTTTGCAACATGGTTACGATTCAATGGTTGTGAAAAGTGTTCGTACACTTTTTAAAACGGAACACGGTAATTTTTTCCTCCTGATTCACGTTCAGATTGCGCACAAGTATGGACAATTTTCGAAGAGGAGATACGACTATTCGAGCCTTGGGGCTCGTTTTTATAGTTACCAATTGTCAACAACTATAAAAACGAGACACAAGGCTCGAATAATCGTACCTCCTCTTCCCAAATTGTTCATTTTTGTGCGCAATCTGAGCGCGAATTAGGGAGAAGTTACTGTAACTTTTTTTATGCGTGTAATACATTTTCATGATGATTAGAGCGATTAGTTTACTAGACAGTGGCTAAAAAGTTATCCTCAAATATTCAAATCGGTTGGAATATATTTACATTTATTTCAATATTTGCTATGGGCTTGTATTGGAATTTGGGAACATGTTTGCAATTTGAGGTGTGAAAAGTATTCGTATAATAACTTTTATCGTATTGTATATAATTTTGCCAATTTGTGGAGTTGCAAAATTGTTATTTTTGTAATAATTTTGTAAATTAGTTTTGTAATATTTTGAAACAATATTGTGCTGCATGTTTACTCTGATTGTGTATCATCAAAATCGATCGAGTATTTCGTGTCCTATTTTAAAACGTAAGCATAAATCAGCATAAATTATGCAAATATAGATTATATAACAGTTGTACAAGTTGTTATTTTATATTATAATTGTACAAGCAATTTCTCTAACTAACCAAGATTCTATCGCGCTTAAAACAGTATAATAGCCTCATTGATGTCCTCAAGTCATTGCAGTGTGTAAGTAAAGATTTTATAACAATATTACACAATCAAGTGAGGAATGTGAACTCATGAAGTCCATAATTTAATGGTAAATAAATTAGGACAGACATTGGTACAATTTTTAATGAGTAAAAGGGATCACTGTTTAGAACAGTGAAAAGTAGATCATATTATAACTAAACTATGGATTTTATGAATTTATAGTAAAAATGGATCAGTTAACAACAATATTACATTATTTCAAACTTTCTGGAACTATGAAATGAAGGAACACATTTCTATTTAACTCCAGTTTCTTAGAATTGATGTAGGACATTTTTATTTTGCACACAGATCGAGTTTAATAGCGACTGTCGTTCAAGAGATTGCAAATCTATTTAAATCAGTGTTTTCTTGCGATTTATGGTGATTGTATTCAACGAGGATCATAAATCCTCGACCCTATTTTCTTTATCAAAGTTAGGCGAGACTCTATTACTTTCTGCGATAATAAAGATAATAAGTGTGAATTGATTATGAATTTGGGATAACTGTTTTTAACTGATTTAATACAATTTAATAATTGTGCTGTGGAATATAGGATTTATATACAGAGTGTCTCAAAAATGTTTCGCAATCCGAAGATGGTGGGTTCCTGAGGTCATTTGAAGTAACTCTTCCCTTAGCTGAAATGCAATCCGCGGCTTCGTTTACGAGTTATTAACGAAAAACAGTGACCAATGAGAGGCGATATCAACTGGCGCGAGACGGCCAAGCCAATCAGCGGGACTGGGCTTCGTGCGCTTGTTGGCTGGGCCGTTTCAAGCCTGCCAAGCTCGCCTCTTATTGGTCAGTGTTTTTCGTTAATAACTCGTAAACAAAGCCGTGGATTGCATTTTCACTAAGGAAAAAGTTACTTCAAATGACCTCAGGAATCTCCCATTTTCAGATTGCAAGACATTTTTGGACACTATATTTATTAGAAGAAAAAGCATGTGAACAAATTCGATAGTTTAAAGAAAATCATGGAAAATTTGAAACACTGGTAATTAGTAGACTAATAATTAATAGCAGATTTTATGTATTTATGCTAAAATTGCACGAGTGAAATATCAAACAATGAAGATTTGGCGGCTGTTCGGATGTCGTGGAAGTGGAAAGGGAGTGGGGAGACGTTTTGTCCGGGGCCCGCTAGAGGACTCATCGGTAAGGCTATCCTAGCGGGCCCTTGCCTTAGACGTAAGGGTAGGACGAAGTCTCGGTGTATATATAGGGATCGGAACGGATCGGCTACTAGCGGGAAGAGGAGCCCTCTGCTGGCAGGTCTGGAGGTAGCCGCCACAAAGACATTAGGAGAATTTATTCGTGCGAATAAATTAACATGCGAATTCTTCCTTGCAAGCACGGATACACATTACACGATTAGTACAACGATAAACTAATTTCAGTTTTCGCTCTATTAATGAAGAACGAGATGCTCTGGCTCGTGTAGGTTGAGTTTCACGTCGGAAAAACCGTTGAGTTGGTTTTTAGACAGAGGTAAATTTAAAAAAGGTAAAACAGCAGCAGAGAAGTTCAATAAAAACGTTAGAGTGGAATACGAAGAAAGGGAGCTCGGAATTGGGTCACGCGGTATGTAAATCCGAAATCGTAGTGTTCTACATTCGTTGTCAACTCTGTTATTTAACTGGCGAAACAACGGAATAATTGGAAATTCGAGTTTTAATGGTATTCTATAATTAATTATCCGCTGCGAAATTAAACGAAGTTTGCTTTCGGAGAGAGGTAGCTATGTATATCGAAGACTCGGTTAATTTCCGAAGTTTAAGATCTCTCCATTGTAACAGGCCGCGTGAATGAAAGTTTGACGGTGTAATAGGTCACGGTGTCGCCGGTCGCGTAAAATGCCAACTATTCGGTTAATCGCATAGTTCTCGAAACTGAAGCTCAACGACGAAACCGTGCAGCGAGGGTGAATTACACGTACAGTCGGCCGTGAAAGTATTCGAACCCTAATATTCGCAACATTTAACAAGTATCCACGTTCGAGAGAAGCGTTCCGAACAATGTACCTGGAAGATCGGCTCGAGATTATCTCGGAGAGATTGTCGAATTATTGTACAACATATCGATCACTAATTAACACATTTTCTGCGGCTCATAGATCGAGCTTTACTCACACGTCTAACGGCGGATCAGTGAATTCCGAAAATATCCGCTTTTTGAAAAATGTTTAATATTTTCAAAACTGACAATAAGATTTTGGCAATAAGTATGTAACGAAGGTTTATTATATTTGTTCAGTACTGTGTATTCATAGTCGGCTGGGCGGTCTCTGGCTAATAACTTTTCTGATTGAACTTTTTATTTAAATTTTGTAAGGAATTCGTAATATTTAATAAGAAAAATTAAAGCAAAAGTACAGTACTTATTACAGTACTGAAAAAAGTGATTTTTTATTTCCACCTTACTTTCATGCTTCTAAAATAAATCGATAAATTCTGTATTATTAATTTGTACTAACAAACAAACAGCAAAAGTTATGTTATACTTAGAGGAAACCAAATTGTTTAGCAAAATTATACACTAACTTAAGAAGCCTGGATTAAGAAAATAATGTAAAAATGTAATGCAAAACTATTGTATTTATTACACTACACGTAACTGCTAATTGCTATTAAGCAGATGCGACATTAAATAAATTAAATTAAAAAACAAATTCGTAGTAGAAATTTTTTAGAGTTTCATGTTAATTACTAAAGAATA